GGCAGATACCAAATATGGCCAAACGCCACTCTCGTGGGCGGCTTGGAACGGGCATGAGGGGGTAGTAAAGATGCTTTTGCAACGAGAGGTCGTCAATCCTAACCAGGCAGACACCGAATATGGCCGAACGCCACTCTCGTTGGCGGCTCAGAAGGGGCATGAGGGGATAATAGAGATACTTTTGCCACAAGATGGCGTCAATCTCAATGCCACAGACACTAAATATGGTGCAACACCACTCTTATGGGCTGCTGAATACGGACATGAGGGTGTAGTAAAGCTTCTATTACAACAAAAGGACGTCGGTCCCGACCAGGCAGATACCAAATTTGGCCGGACACCACTATCGTGCGCGGCTGGGTGTGGGCGTGAAGGGCTAGTAAAGCTACTTTTACAACGACAGGAGGTGAATCCCAATACGGTTGACGCCAAAGGCCGTACACTACTCTCGTGGGCAGCTAAGCACGGGCATCAGGGGGTGGTCAAGATGCTTTTAGGGCGAAAGGATGTCCTCACCACCATACATGATAACAAGGGCCGAACGCCGTTGTCATTGGCTCTCCCTAAAGGATATGAAGAAATTGTAAAGATGTTACAAGAATGGGGTAATGTCAATTCCGACCCCACAGATTCTGCCGGCCAGACATCCCTTCCAGCGCCCCCAGAGCCTGCGGACGAGTGTCTCGCGTCGAAAGTTGAAGCTCCCGATCCCAACATTGCTGACCACGATGCCCCGCCTGCACCCACAGACGCACACCCCGATGAGACGGAAGAGGTATCAGGTGTCAATAATACTATTCCCAACTCCGCAGCCAGCGATCCGAACACAACCGCACCACCCCTGCCACCTCAACTCACTTCCACCCCGCCCCCGCCGCTCCCATCTTGCCCTATTCTACCACGCTCTCACCCCACCTCCACCCGATCGATCCTCTCAATTCTGTTCGACCATTATTTCCTCATTGCCTTCTCCATTCCTTTCTTAGCTCTCCTCATTTACCTCCTTCCTTACTACTTTCCCACCACATTCTCATTCAATAAATGATTACCGAGCGAGGGATCGGTATTCTCAAGACCTCCCTCAATTTAGTTGTATATAGTTTTCATAAGCGGTATTATTTCTGATCTCAGTTATCAATTTATTATGTGTTTTTCAGTTTCTCTATTCTTCGCCATTTCCTTGCTCGCAGTTCCGGTTAGACCTTACCCTGTAACTTCTTCTCATGTTTCCTTGCCGTAATTCCTTAACATTCATTCCGCGTTTTCTGGGTCGGACAGTATGGTGCTGAACGGCCCGTTACACTCAATTATATATACATATACAGCAACCTTAATTATTCCCATCCTATTCCGGACTTGTAACCACCAACTCGTCTCCTCCCCGTGATCTTCCTCACCGCTGCCAAGTCACTGCCATCTATTCCCTACACAAACAGTCGACTACACAATGCCCCGACATCGCTGCGAGCTCCGGGCTGGCCCATCTCAGTGAATTGAACCCTAACCCCAGAATCCCGAATGTGCTTCGCTCTCCCCGCGAACTGGTGAACAGTCAAATCGTACCAGTTTGAAAGCGTGCGGGGTGGTTAGCGTGGCGTGATCTACCGCCGGTATGATACCCAGTGTGCTGGGAGGTATATCTCCCATGTCACAACGTCGGAAATTCCCCCGACACCTACGACAGTGTGGCGCTTCTGTTACTTTTACACATGTTAGCTTGCTCACAGTGGAGGGAAGGGGGAGATGGGTTTTTGGAGTTACTTTGGGCGGAGGATGGGGGCTGATGACAAATCGGGGTGAAGTAGTATAGTCTGCTCAACCAAATCACCCACTTTGTAGGAGCTTTTAAAAGGGTATCAAAATGACTAGCAGCCAATAAAAAATCTACAAGAACTGAAAAAGTCCCCCGCATTGCCGCCCCCCCATTCCTCCCTCCTTACAACGCTATCTCACCCATCAAACCCCCCTTCTGGGTCACTACCACCACCAAAACTGCTCTCCACACTGCCCCCTCCCTCCTCCTCCAACAGCCACCTGGTACCCTCCCCCCCACCCACTTCTCGGCCCTCCCAGCCACATCTCCAACAAGTCTCTCATACATGCCCCCCAAAAAGAACAGTCTACAATGGGCACCCACTCCATCCACTGCCATCATTTCAACCTTAATCCAGCAGGCGCCCGGCGTGCATAGGATCAGGCAGAACTTGCTCTCGCGCTTCTTCATTTGCGGGATTTAAGGCGTCGGGGTCGGGCCATGTGTCGGCGAGGGGGCTGGTGATGGGGAGGGTGAGGAGGACTGTATCGAGCTCTATCCGCCGCAAGCAGGTGGCGCCGGAGCACACATTATCCATCGCTCTTCCCTTTCTATTTTTCCTTCACTAGCCGTAGTCTCTCCACCTCGCCGTCGTACTGAGTGGCAGATTTCCTCTTTCCCTTTTTTTCCTCATGTTTCTTCCTTCCTCTGTCTTTTCAAGCGCTTTTTCCTTGTCCTTCACTACTTTTTCGTAGCCCCCCACGTTCTGCTCCCAGAATTTCATTGCCTTTGTAGCTTTCTCGGCAGCATTGCGACAGTTGCACCCGGGACTCGGGAGCAGCCAAATCCCGCGGTGGCGGGGAGATCACAGGATGTGCCGTTGTAGAAGCAGTGGAATAGATGGAAGTAGATGAGGCACGGTCGGAAATCCCGTGCTCGGGCGACACTATTGTGGTTTCTAAAATGGGTACAGGGGTAGACCCACTTGGTTTATCCTCCTCGTAGGACACCTTGCCATCGGATCTAGGGTGGGGGGCCAGTTATTCCAGCGCCATTTCACCAGCTGAGATAGTACTTGTGCTAGGGTCCCTAGAGTGCGCTCCAGGCAGAGACAGGTTAACCCCAAGATGCATTTCCCGCGTCATATCTTGTAATTAACTGCCACCTGACCCCCCTACCCCCGCCAAACGAGTGGTCTGGGAACGCTGCTCCAGATTCTGGTTTCGGTGGATCCTTAGAGCACCCGGTGGAGGATGTGTAGTAGCCATCAAAACGCACCCGGATTTTTTTGCCGTCCAGTGCTTGCGCGCTAGTTTCGCGTCTTCAGGCAGCGTTGTAGCCGATTTTCAAGCCCGCCGGATCAGCGAGGTAGACGCTATTGTAGTTAGTTCAACTTAGTTGAACGATTCCGGAACAGAGGGAGGCTAGAGTAGAAGACAAACCCGATCAAGATGCAACATCAAGTACTGCGCCGTCGCAGGGGTAGGTGAGGATGGTGTTTATTGATAAACATCAGTACCGAATCCCAAGTTCCATCTAGACTCCTATTAGCACTCACACACCTAGTCAGCATAGCGCGATTAACACTTACGTTACTTGCTTTGCACAACCGTGAAATTCCACCTCGGTCTCCAACGAAACAACTCACCCACACTGCTCCCAGAATGTACCGTTGATAACAAAGCCAGACTTGAATTTTCCCCTAGGTATACCCCCCGCCCGCACCCGACAAGCCCTCCTCGGAAGGACCCCTTTCCTCCGACCGAACCAGACTCCCCAACCCAGCGGATATAACCCCCGAATACATCCCCTGAAATTGAGAATCGAACGTGGGGACTCGCAATATCCTATGCCCAAGTCCCCCGCCGAGCTGCAACACCACCTCCGCCGCCGGAATCCCCCCATGGAATGTTCAAACAATACCAAATCCATGCCAGATTCTCGAATCACGCGAGCCATTTGGAAAACCTCGCTGTCGCGATGGAAATGTTATTCTTAGCCTTGGGTTGTAGATAACCTTTTGAATGGACGCCCCCCCCTAGAGATCGCAAAGCAACGGACAGCAAGTGGTGAAGGTAGACAGGGAAACTCTGGAAGTTGCTTTCGTTGCCTACGAAGTCATGAATGTAGACTAGGAGGAGCTTCCTCTTCCCCATAGGAAGAGAACCTGGAGCAGATTTTGAGGCCGTAGAGAGGCCTGCATTGCGGGATCGCGAATCCCCCGAGGAGTACGAGGAAGAACAACAATCTGCGGTCGCCGGTAATAGAGAGTAGCTTGGTGTTGGAGATCTCGGAACAATCGGTTCCCTTGGAGGGAGCGGAGGCAGTACACCTGGCCCCGGCAACTCCCTGATGGAACTCTTCTTGCCGCCTGTGTTTGTTTCCTGTTCGTCCGTTGCTTTGTTTCTTCTCCCACCCCGCTGCGGGGGACACCCGCAAATGGTAAGCCGTGTCTCGGGATTGCAAGGATGTTGCTTATCGCGTCCTTACACGTGCAGCTAATAAATTTAGCCGTCACGTGAAGGGAGATAAGAAGAACGATTCTGTGCTTTCCCTTATGCATCCACCGCATTTGTATTGACTCGGTTAACTCAAGGGTGATACGCCACGGATATCAGTCTAAACGCTCAACCTCTAGCTAACTGCTAAAATAGTGAAAAAATATTTGAAAATAAAATAAAGACATAATTAAAATTAATACTTTTAATACCAGCCATCTGGCTCAATAATTGCCCCAATTCTGTGTTCTGGTGCAGGTATGGTGGATTCGGATGTGGGAGGCAGGGCTTCAAAGTTGAATGAGCAAGCGCCGCCGTGCAAGCCAAATGTTCGGCTAATCAAATTTATGCTAAGCTACCGGTACGATGCTGTTTTTTTGAGGCCGGCTGCATTGGATGGTGTGATTGACCGAGCTGTCACCCATGCAAAAGGGTTGACCGTAACGAAGGGATATGCAATCGGGTAATGGGCTGAAATTATGCTGAGAAAGTTGATAGTAAAAGAAAGGAGAGAAGTTGGGTGGCAAAGGCGGAAAACAGAACTCGAATTCATCAGAAAAGAATCGCGCCACCGTTTCTTGTATTATAATCCTGTGTTGTTTGCATCTTCGTCTCCCTATGGCCTCATAGGATGGTAAAGCCATGCTTCCAGGTGAAAATTTTACACGTGCTGAGCCTCCTCCAAACAGAGGATTCTATAGGTTAAAAAACAGCAAAACATGACCATAAAACCCCCAAAGCTACTTTCTACTATACCGGTACGACAATACCCTATGACACGACCTTCGTGCTGCACTCTGCTCGTGCGGCCAAAGGCCCTTGGAGCCGCACTACAGGCTATGATACAAGTAAGTTAGAGCTGTGATGCTGGACCAATAATGAGTCCATACGGGGTAACACAGTCTAAAATCACATGAGGTACATGAGATTGCGCTCTATAACCATTGCCTTCTTACATAACCTAAGCTCTAGCCCTGGAGTTTCCCTTGCATTTTGAAGCATCCCCATCGAATCTTCCCACACCGGTAGTAGATGCACTAGATGACCGGACAAAAGTACATAAGAGACAGTATTTATACATGTTAATTTAAACTTATCCCCACTGATAAGGGGGGTCAAGCCTCCTCCACCCCAGAGCAGTGTGATATATCCGAAGCGGTGAATTGCGAATCTCCTCTTTCCATCTTTTCAAGTATCAGATAATTTCGGGTCCTGACGGATGGAGATTTGATTATTCAATGGACAATGGGAAGACAATATTAGGTGAATTTTATATGTGCGAAGCGCTGGTATTTCTGGGGGTTGAGGGCGGGAAGTTTGTTTACTTGCAATATTTTGACTAGAGGAGGTGTGCTGTGGGTGGTAGGAAGGAAGTAAGCAGAACATCGCTAAGTTATGATACCCATAATTCCAACGTACTTCTCAATCTTCTCCCAACACGGTATTGAGGATCATGGTTGGCATTGTCTACTACCCGATACCTGCAAGAATTTTTTCACAATCGCGGGAGCTTGGCATAGGTTTACAGTGTGGGAAGTGGAGGGCGGTGCTGTCGCGATCTCTACATTATGGTATGCATTTCCTACTGCACATGTGGGGTAGGATACATTGCCCACCTGTGAGATGTTGCGGATCTCCCCCACGTCGGCTCACGTACTCGCTACGCTTTCAAATTCACATCCTCTATTCACATAAATTTACCACATAGGCTGTGGATCATGCCAGAGTGGAATTGTAATTCTAATGCATCAGCGCAACGGTCAATGTCGTCAGAGAGCTAGAGATTGTATTGCGGCAGTAGTTTTGATCAGGCACCGGAGGAAATAAATCAAATGGTGAATATTTCAGTATTAGGTACACTCAGGATCCTGTTATAAAAATATAAATATATAAAAATTGAGCGCTTTCTAGGAGTCTTCAGAATTGATCAGGACTACTAGAGTCTATACAAAACCCGAGTAGTATGATAGACAGGGCAACAAGTCTGTTTTGTACTCCTCCTACTTTCCCCTCCGTTGTAACTCTTTCCTCACCCGTCTGTAGCCACCTTCGATAAGCCCATTCCGCGATGACGACTGCCACGATTCCCGTGGCCATTGAAACTGTGGAAATATTTGTTCTACCGCTGTCCATGTCGGAGATGCAGGTTAATGAGCAATTTTTATTAACTACTATAAATTGGTCATGCACAAGCTTCACACCCTACCAAATATTATCTTCACCCAGGGTTAGTGAAAAATATGAAGGGTGATATTAGTCATCTCTGGTCATAAAATGCTTCCGTAGGAAAAGATTTGACTAGATCATTACTTGTAGCCTGAATGGGGGTAGAAAACAGGGGATCAGGAAGAAAATGCTTGCCCCAAGTTTCCCCTAAATTTTTCCCGCTCACTCAATCTTGCAGCATGGTGCTCTGCCAGTCTGTAGCGGGATGGCCCAAGGTATTTCTGGTACGAGAATGGCATATATTTGGAGTGGGAAAGGTGGAAAGCCATGGAGTAGCTGGCGGTGAATAGGGAAGCATTAGGTCTGCTCAGTACTTGGCTCTGGAACCCACCACTTTCTAAGAATATTCTAAATATCCACGGTTTGTCCTCGAATTTTATAGATTTCAAGTCTGCAAATTGGTGTTAAAGAAGGAAGACGGAGTGGCAGATGTGGGAGAGGAAAGAATATAACATTTGTCCTATATAATGACAGGGACCTAGACTTCATAACCTCCAGGTGGTCTGGGATCGAACTTGAAGAGTTTTTCATCTCCAGTATAATGCTCCAAATAGAGAAAGACAACTAAATCAAAGCATGGGATACCAAAACTACTAGCATCAATGGGTCACACAAACTGGGAATAACATAATGGAGAAAATCCACAACATCTCACTCCCGGCACACCCTCTTACCAACCCAGGAGGATGTCCCGCTCAAGATCAAGGACTAGTCGGCTAAGGGGTGGGATCGCGCTTACTGTAAGAGGCATCCGGTGAAGAGAGAAGGTGTTGTTGATAGTTGGTTGAGGGAAGAAATCCAGCGCAAGGGAGAAAAATCAAAGAATCAAACGGAGAATGGGTAAGAAGGGGAACGGTGGTGACAGGACAAGGAACTGCGCTAACCGTGCTGGAGTTCCGACCGCTATGAAGGGCGCTAAGCCACCGTCCCAGCTGAGGGCATCCACGAGGGGGTAGGTATCGTATTCCGAGTCCATGAGCACAAGGATTTGTGGAAAACAAAAAACCTAGAAGGTGCATAAGTGGGGGTAACGCCCGCATACTGCGGCTAACCTGGTAGAATGCTTGTGGACAGTAATTTCTATACTCGAGCAGGTACTCTGCATAGAGAACTTCGTAGATGGCGGCGGGAACATGAAAGAAGCCAACGCTCGAAAAACGAATACAAGCCGGAATGACCTTTACAAATAGCGACTCGAACCACATCTAACAATCTCATGCAACTATAACGATGTCAAAATCGCAAACAAATACTTAAGATTGGAGTTTAAACAAAGTAATCCGAACTACTTGGTGGCCAGAAGAGCAAAAAGACCAAAGGCATGTTGGAAATCGCGAGGTGCTGCTCGGGATGGTCTCACGATAGTCTGCTTGTTTGCATAGCCCCGGGGAGTATGCTTTGGTTTCGGGCGCACATTGGGCTCGGGTGCACTTTAGCTTCCGCGCGCGTTTTAGCTTTTCGGGAAAGCACTTCCGCAGGGGGAATGCGCGGAGGTCTTGGAGGAATGAACCCGCCGCAAAGAAAGCGGAAAGGCCGTAAGGAAGGCAGGAAAGTCAATATCCGGAGGCTATGGACAGTGGAAGTTTGTCTTTCCCTTGTCAGCAGAGGATTTAGAGCCAGCAGAAGGGGAGGCAAGCGAGAAATATCAAGGACATGCGTGGTAGTCTGTGCAAGGATAGAAGCACTTGGTTTGGTGTTTATATATACTACTGCATTTACCGATAGTTAGGTGAGAGTGTGTGACGGAGGATGAGTTTCCCCACGCCTGAGTTATGCGATCTTTTCCTGTGTGAAATCTTGGCTCTTTGCCGTTCGCCGTTTCGCTATTGCTATCGCCGTTGATAAACGGTTGAAAGTTGGTACTCAAGCCACAATGCCGGCGAACACTAAACCCCCCACTCCGCGAACTCCCAGCCAGAAATAAAGCCTAGGAATTATCCGAATTTAGACGTAAAAGGTCAGTTATGAGAATATTCAGCAGGAAAGCCGGAGAGGTACGATTTGAACACCCTAGCCATTAGAACCGCAATAGCAACAGATAGGTCTCGCAAGGGACCCGGGGAAATTCTAGGCATTAACTATTCCTGAGACAATCCGCGGGCAGACACGAGATGCCTGTATACCAGAGCCTAGTTGTTGGGGGGCTGATATGTCACATCTTAGTAATCCAACCTCTCCTAGTGATTGGACAGTGATTGTCACACAAGCCAGATCCCCCCTTTTTCTGCCGCCACTCGGCCTCGCAAAGCTTTCCGGGTCTTCCCATACAGAGCTTATAACCTGTCTGGCATCCCTACGAGTTCCTATACCATTCCTGGGTTCGGGCGGCGTTCCGCAAGGAGTGTGATGGCGCGGGCTACACATACACAAACGGTCAACATGGGCGACGGGAACGCCAACTGCAACAACATAACAGGCAGCTTCAATATCACCTACAAACCCGATGAGGATGTACAGATTATGCGTTGGCTCTCGCCCCTTGAGCCAAACAACAGGCATCAAGGAGTGCGCAGCGACCGCTTAGACGGCGTCGGGAGCTGGCTTTTGGAAACCAGCGAGTTACGGAAGTGGAGGGGAAGTGAGGGTGGAGCCGATGAGGC